TCTGTATGTATCAAATAGAAACTCCTTATTGTACCTGTCCACAGTCCCAGTAACTACTACTCTTTCTCTGTCAGTTTGCCTTTTCTAAGTTCTTACATAAGCAGAATCATGTAATAATATGTGCCCTTTTGTGTCTGGCTTATTTCACTTAACATAATGTTTTCAAGGTTCATCCATGTTCAGCACATTCTAGAACTTCACCCCTTTGTAAACTAATGGTGGTATATATATATATATATATATATATATATATATATATATATATATTTTGTTTATCCAGCCATCAGTTGGTGGGACATTGGGTTGTTTCCACCTTTTGGCTGTTGTGAATAATGCTGCTCAATTTGAACATGGGTATACGCATATCCTATTCAAGTCCCTGCTTATTATTTCCATTTTACTAATAAGAAATCCAAGACTCAAAAGGTCAAAGTTCAAGTCACACAGATTATGCATAAATCCAGAAGTGAGTTCAGACCCAAGTAGGAGATGGATATTCACCTATCTGGGAGACATGTGTCCTACAAATATTCAGCTGGAGTTGTGCAGATACATATTTGCTAGTAAATAGCTACCCCATGAGCCTTTACCCCAGATGCCTGGCCCCTCTTGGAACTCCCAGAGACCCTAACCATGATTCAGCAACCAAATAGGTAGCAGCTGATCCCCCAGGACCCTGCTTCTGATGAGAGCACCCCTTCTGATCAGTGCCATGCTGTCTTGGATATTCGGAATAGCAGCCCTGCCTGTGTCACAGAGTACCATGATCTTCTGTAAGGGTAAGTTAGACAGAGGTCTGTTAGAGGTGCTGCCAAAGGAGCTAGACATCTTAGAAAACACTGGGAATTTAGAAGGAAATAAGAGGCCAGAATTATTAGCTAAAATGGAGGCTTCAGTTTAAGCACTAGAAAAAGGGCCCAACAACCCAGATGAAGAGAAAGGCCACTGAGGGAATGCCATGAGGAGGTCCTAGAGTGCCAGGCAGGGCAATGACAGGGACACCATTAACTTGACTGAAGCTGAAGGAAGTGGCTCAGGGCCAGGAAAGTAAGGACCAGCCGACCCCTGAGCCTAAAGATTGAGGGACAGCTCAGCCTTGTCATCTGAGGGAGATGCTGGGAAGGCAGCAGAGACCTGGACTGCTGCAGGTGCTTAGGTTCTGCCTGAGAGAGTCAAGGCGAGAAGACAACGCCCCAAGCGCTATCTCCCAAAGAGAACTGATTATTATCTTTCTTGGAAATGGCAGCAGAAAGTTGCTCGGGGCACAAGCACACAGCACAGCACCTGCCTGTGGTGACTTTTTGGGTTGGGGTTGGAAGAGGGGAGTCCCCGTGACCTCACAGGGCTTTGTGGCCACATTCAGCCCATCGCTGGTACCAGCCATGCGCCTCATGCCCATCTCGCTGGTAAGAATCATGGCAGAGTTCTACTTCCTTCTTTATTCCCTACATTGAGTCTGAAGTCATTCATGCATTAAAGTGAGAAAAGACACGTGGTTTTGGTCTCAGCACCTGACTCAATTGCTCTGGAAATCAGTTGGTTTTGCCTTCTAACATACATTTCTCCTCCTTATGATAACAATTCCTCAATTCCTCTTTGGGGGGAACCACCACCTTCTTTTCTTCTTTTTAGAATTTAATTATGGTAAAATATGCATAATGTAAGATTATCATCTTAACCATTTTTAAAACAATTTTTTTTAGTTGTAAGTGGACACAACACTTTTATTTTCTTTATTTATATGTGGTGCTGAGGATCCAATCCAGTACCTCACCCAGACTAGATGAGCACACTACCATTGAGCCACAACCCCATGGTTAAGTCCCATCTTAACCATTTTTAAGTGTACAATTCAGTATTGTTGAGTACATCTTATTGTTGAGCAACAAATCTCCTTCTCTCTCTTTCTTTTTCTTTTACCACGGAATGAACCCATGGGCACTTAACCACTGAGCCACAGCCACATCCCCAGCCCTTTTTATTTTTTATTTTGAGACAGGGTCTCACTAAGTTACCTAGGGCCTCACTGAGTTGCTTTGGACTTGTGATCCTCCTGCCTCAGCCTCCCGAGTCACTGGGATTACAGGGGTGTGCCACCTTGCCTGGCTCCCTTCCTTCTTAAGAAGTAATTTATTTGGTCTCATCCCAACTTCTGGCTCCGGGATGGGGCCTTTGAATGAGGCTAGACTTATTACAGTATCCTATATCTCTCGCTGCACTGATTGGCACATCACAGAAGCTGAGTCCATGAGAATCAATACAAGGATAGCTGCTAGAACTAATGGGAGCAGGCCTTGTCTTCTTGCTCCAGATGCCAAACTGGTGAGGATTAACTTGGAGCCACAGGTGGCTATCTTTGCCACCAACAACAAGATGTGCCTAATAATAAAGCCTGCACAGGGGAAAGCAAAGCTGAAGGATGAACACAGATGGATTTCTGGCAAATGTTTTGAGCACCTGGATCCAGCTATGCCTGAAACAATTGCCTAAAAACTTTACAGTTGCATGAAACATAAATCCTCTTTTTTTTTTCCTGAACCCAATTTGAGTCGGGTTTTTGTCATTTGTAACTAGAAGAATCTTATCTAAAGCTAAGGATGTAGCTCCTGATACAGCTCAGTGGTAGAGGGTTTGCCTAGCACATGTGAGGCCCTGGGTATAAGCCCTAACACTAAAAACAAATAAGACAAATACAATAAAATAATCCAGGATTAGGGTTATAGCTCTGTAGTAGAGCACTTGCCTAGCATGTGTGAGGCCCTGGGTTTGATCTGCAGTAAGAAAAAAAAAATTAAATCTTATCTAATAGACCCCTGAACTTAAGTCTAGAATTTTATGAGACTCTTAAGATCCAAGCACTAATGTTCTTCTCCCTTCTGCTTATCTCTCTGAGCTTTCAAAAATCATCAACTGCCAGGTACAGTGCCTCATGCCTGTAATCCCAGCAGCTCAGGAAGCTGAGGCAGGAGGATCGAGAGTTCAACGCCAGCCTTTGCAACTTAGAAGGCCCTAAGCAACTTACTGATACCCTGTCTCCAAATAAAATATAAAGAGGGCTGGAGATGTGGCTCAATAGTTAAGCACTCCTAAGTTAAAAAAAAAAAAATCATCTAACCTATCCCAGAATGCCCCCTCCCCACAATTAACACATGACATTTGTTCAATGATGAAGCTGAGAAGAATGCTGGGTGGGTGTGGGGAATTAGTATAATATAGAAATTATATCAAAGGAAAAAAAATTTATAAATATGTATCTAGATGACATATCAGCGACCACACGTGAGCACAGACCCCTGGAACTACAGTGTAAACAAACAGCTCCTGAGAAAGACAGCGCTTGTCAGTCGTGAGAGGCCACCCTCTCCTAACTTACATGGCTATAGTGTGGCTCTGAGCATGGTGTAAGGAGCACTAATCTTCCATGCAAGAGTCTAGTTTCAGCTCTGTGGGGGGGGGGGGACAAGCCCAAATGGGGTTGTAATGAGTACTAGCACAGCTCTTCTGCAGGAGTGTAGAAGACCAGAGAAAGAGGCCAGCGCCTTCCTCACACAGGCCTCAGAACAGACACTGGGCGCCTGCTTGCTGTTTGGGATGTTCTGGCTCCCTCATGAAGGCTTAAAGTCTAGGGGGATGGAGTTTATCTAGGTGTTCATGAGGATCCCACGAGGGCACCCATTAGATGAAAGCACCTCTGTGAAGGTTTTTGTTTTTAATCTCAAAGCAGGCCAGGGCCCATGATTCTACAATCTCCCCTAGGAGCTCTGGGCATACATGTACAAACCTGTGGGGGGTCTGAGAAAAATAAGTCTCCAGGCTATAGAGCGCAGCAACCAGCCAACAGAGGGAACAGCCTTGTTCCCCAAGTCAGGAGATAAAATGGGCAGGGGAAATCATGAAGGGCCTGCTCCATAGACTCTGGATGTTTCTACTACCCAAACTTTTAATAGACTGTGCCCATCATGGAAGAAATCTCTGGTGAGGTCCCCTCACTCTCCCTGGAAACATTCTTGCTGGTAGTTGGAGGAACCCTGCCCTAGCCTTCTCAGTCCCGGCCATGATTAAATGATCCCCCACGTGCTTGCCTTCTCTCCGTCCTGAGGTGGAGCTCACCACCCATTCTGAGCGCAGTACTTCTTCCTGACACTTGGGGATATATATATATATATATATATATATATATATATATATATATATATATATACACACACACACACACACATACATATATATCCCTAGAATCAAGCCCACATGGACAGGCCACGAGGGCTACAGAAGAGCACTGGACAAAAAAATCAGAAGAGCCTGAGTTCTAGTCTTCCCCTGACACTAGTAAAAGAGTCCAAGAAACAGAATCCTAGAGAACCTCCCCAGGACAAAGCCTCTGTGGGTGGCGGGAAGGAGCTTTGTGAGTCTTCTCAGCTGCATCCCCAGGATGGTGAACACACATCCTGGCACTTGGAAATATGTGTTCCATTTCCCGATGGAAATATGTGTTCCTGTAAATGAGTCACCACGTATTTATCAATGAAATAGTGATTCTCAAGCTATGTTGTGGGGCAGGAAAGGAGATCCAAGCACCCCGCGGATTCTGAGTGTTCGCAGAGTAGTCTCATTACATCCTATCATCCAGCCCAGGGAGGGAGCATTCCCATTCCCATTTTGTAGATGATAAAACTGAGGTTCATAAACTCTCACTGACCTGCTCACATTCTCCCCTTCAGAGCCAGGAATCAAAAACACGTCTGATTCTGAAGCCCTGGTTGTTTCCACTACCTCACATCACTCCAAGCGCTCCTGCGGGATGCATGTCCACCTACACCCAGAGCTGTAGCCCCCAAACCCTACGCAGAGGCTGGGAGCAGCCCGCCACAGCTTCCGGATCAGCCACCAACAGTGGACAACGGACGCTGACCTCCCACCAACCAAGTTGACCCGAACTCGCCCACCTAGAAGGGCGGTGGCTGCCGGGCGGGGAGGTCCCCGGTGCAGGAAATACTCACGGCTCCCGGAGGCCCAGGTGGCTCCGCGGGGCGCATCGTCTCCCAGGCTCGGCCTCCTCCTCGAGAGCAGCCAAACGCGGCGCTGGGCTGCCTCCTCTCTGGGGCATCAGATTATTTTAGCACTTGCGGAAGGAACGGACGGAAACTGAAGTCACATGGAGACCGAGCAGCTCAGCGACTCAGCACCCAGGCTCACACAGACCATCTCAGAGGGAACTGCGGCTCGCGGGGGGCGCGGGGGATGGGAGAGGGCGGCGAGCTGCGCCCCTTGCAAAAGTGATGGGGTGTAGTCACCAACGAGGTGGATTTTTAGGGATCTGCCTCAATACTTAGCAGCCTTCTCTTAAGACTTCCTCACCTTAGTATTTTTCCTGAGGTGGTAGCTGGGGGTCCTTGCCTGTGTGAGGTCTGCCGACCCAGGAACTCTTCTCCAAGGTCCTTCTATCCAAGGACCAAGTTAGGATAGACTTTGGGAAGTGGTGGCACATGTTTCCCATCTGCAAAGGGGGAGAAACCATCATCTGGAAGAGTTATCCACTCTCTAGTCTTTCTTTTAATACACTTAGCTAGTTCCTATTAATAATCTTTTAAGGTTCTAGCTCTGAAAAAGAAAAAGAAATGGAACTTGCAGTGTGGTAGATTGTCAGTGTCATGAGCTTCTTGATAATAGTCCGCAAGGATGGGTTTCTTGTAGCTGAATGATACATAGTTTCCCAATAGCTCTTGCCAAAAATTCAAAAGAATAATGCAAATTAATAATATAGCCATCATACTGGGTGCAGTGGTGCTGCCTATAATCCCAGTAACTCAGGAGTCTGAGGCAGGACGATTACAAGTTTGAGGCCAGCCTCAACAACTTAGAGGGACACTTAGCAATTTAGCACGATCCTCCCTTTCTCAAATAAAAACTAAAAAGGCGTGGGGATGTAGCTCCGAGGTAAAGCACTCCTGGGCTCAATCCCCAGTACCTAAATATATAAATACATAATCATCATCAAAGGGGTGCCAGAAACTGTTAGGAACTTGATGTGCATTTTCTCTGAGCTCCTGTTTCCAAGGAGCTTCACTTCTAGTGCAGAAGGCAAAGCACCTGCTACACGGTGAAGGAGTGATGCAGCCTGTCACACTGCCAGGGTGGAGAAGGGGTCTCCAACCCTGCTCTCCAGTTTTGCAGTAGATCTTGAACATCCTCCAGGGTTGAGTCACCTCTCTTGCAGTGTGGCAATTTGGGATTCTGTACAGCATAATTATTCTTGCCGTGTCCATCCTAAAAGTACAGGAGCAAGTTCTTTCTGCTTCAAACATCCAGCAAATTTTCTCTGTTCTTTAAAATATTCACTTGTAAGGGTGATAATGATGACACCAATGAAAACAACTAAGTAAAAATCAAATTGTCACAAACCAAGTTTTCTGATTCTTGCTTTATATACACTCTTTACTCCCATGTCCTTCGTGTCTACCAATATGTTGATAACTCCCAAATATTAATCTCTAGCTCCAAAATTCTCTTCTAACAGATAAGATTCAGACTTGTATTTTTAACTAATTACTAATTATGTCCCAGACTGTTATTATCACTGTAATATAATATATCCCAAACACAAGTCTCTTTTCCCCCCCACATCCCTAGCCCCTACCCCTTTTTAAACTTCAAAACAGGGCCTTGCTTAGGGCTTTGCTAAATCGCTAAGGCTGGCTTCGAACTTGTGATCCTCCTGCCTGGGACTCCCAAGCCCTTGGGATTACAGGCATGTGCCACCATGCCCAGTTCAAATCAGAACTCTTATCCTTTGCCCCAACTGGTTTTTCTTCCTGTGAGCAGTCATCATTGATGGCATGCTTCAATTTAGGCAGCCCAGCCCTCTCAGACTCCACCCCTCACTTTAAATTGGCCACAGATTTTTGCTGATTCTAAGTTACAAATTTTTTTAAATATGTTTTTTTAGTTGCAGATGGACACAATACCTTTATTTTGTTTATTTATTTTTATGCGGTGCTGAGGATGGAACCCAGTGCCTCACACATGCGAGGTAAGCACTCTACCACTGAGCCACAACCCCAGCACCTAGAAATGTTTTTTGAATCCAATCTACTCTTCATCCTTGGGCCACTGCTCTGGTCTAGACCAACCAACTCATATCTGGATCATTTTGACAACTGGCTCCTTGCCCCTAATGTTGTCTCTCCAATGCAGAATGTGTGGACACATTAAAAAATTGGTATTGATTTATCTTATTCCCTGCTTAAACCCCTTTCATTATTGCCATTGCATCACTTTAACTGGACAGAGCTTAAAAACAGGTAGAGCAGGTTCAAATTCCTCACTGATGGCCTAAATTCTCCCCTTCTCTTCCACTTTCATATGTTTTACACATTGGCCTTTGCTATAGGATTTCTTTCAAGAAACGCAGCTGCTTCTTTTTTCTTTTGGTTCCAGGGATTAAACCCAGGGACACTTAACAACTGAGCTACATCCTCAGCCCTTTTTATTTTTTGAGACAGGGTCTCACTAAATTGCTGAGGCTGGTTTTGAACTTGTGATCCTCCTGCCTCAGCCTCCCAAGCCATTGGGATTACAAGCCTGCACCACTATGCCTGGCTCTCCAACAAAATTTTTAAATCCAATGATTTTTTTTTCTTTTTTTGTACCAGGGATTGAACTCAGGGGCACTCAACCACTGAGCCACACCGCCAGCCCTATTTTGTATTTTGTTTAGAGACAGGGTCTCAGTTGCTAAGCACCTCACCATTGCTAAGGCTGGCTTTGAACTCTTGATCCTCCTATCTCAGCCTTCCGAGCTACTGGAATTATAGGTGTGTGCCACCACACCCGGCCACCAGTGATCTTAGTGGTTGTATAGAGACAAACCAGTTTGTTGGAAAACAGCACCAACAGCTCTCCTCTAGCAGCAAGCTGGCTCAGCTCGGGAACCCTAACACTGTAACTGAAACCAGGGAAGATCTGCAGCTGAAAACAGAACATTCCTCATGCCTGCAGGGTTGTAAGCTGTCAACTCAGCTAGGATTCTCCAGCTTGGCTGGATGCTCTAGGCTCCCTCCCAGCTGTGCTGCTCTAGACTGAGGGGATCAAAGTACTTCCTCTCCAACATGACCCAGAGTGCACCCTGCACTCCCAGCCTGGCACGTCAATTCATGAGACCATGAGAGTCTCATGGACTATATGCTTCTTTATTTGAGCCTGTGGCATGTGCTGTCGTGTTTGTACCCGCCCCCTGCTCAATAGAAATTAAGCAAGTTGTGTGCCTAGGATATGGAGGAGATCTAAGGTGAAAACAAGGAACCGGCAGATCCCAGAGGGAGGAAAAGAGTTTGATCAGGTACCAAGTTAGCCTCAGTCTCTTCCACACTTCATCTCAGGTCTACAAGTACATTTCAGCCAGTCTGGTCTTTTTGTTATTTCCCCAGGCAGAGGACAAAGCTCCCCACTCTGTGCTCCTTCCATCAGAGGGTTTCCTTGCTTGGGATAGCTTCTCCTCTGCCTACCACATCCCAAAGAATGGCTGGGCTCTCCCTCTTCTGTGAAGACTTCCCCACCCCATTTGTACTTCTTCCTCTGAACACAGGGTCCCAGTGCCTGCAACACCCACAGCCTCCTGATAGCTCTTGTGTTGTGATTTATATTTTTGGATTTTGGTCTTGTTTTCCCAACTACATTATCAACTCTTGAGATTGGTGACCATGTGCTATACCAAAAAGCATAATGTCCAATGCACATAAAAAGGCTCAGTCAATATTTACTCCAAGAAGAAAGGAAGAAAGAAGACAATAAACCTACCTGTAAGTATTGCCTTCAAAGATTCCTTTCTTCCTTTTTCTCTTCCTGTCCCTCCCTCCCTTTTTTTCAGCTAAGCCTCATAATAGTTGGTAATTGTGAAACTTTTCAATCTCCCAAAGAGATCAATAGGAGCTTTGGTTTCTGCCCTCTGCTTCCACTGCTTCACCAGATGATCAGACATAATTGGGGCAGAGATGAGGGGACTACAATGTAGACTGTCAAGGGAGACTCCTCTGAGTAGGGGACACATCTGCAAGGGACCCAGTGGGAGAAATAAAGGTCAGTTTCCCTCCTCCAGCCAGCTCCATGGGAGAGAAGAACAGTCCACTGTACCTGGAAATGGAGTGGTAAGGAAATAGACCTGGCCACCCACCCAGACCCATGATCTTGGTCCTCCCGCTCTTGCTTCTGATGTTTCCCTCTCTGTTTTGGGCTGCCACAGACAGGGCAGCCCTTTCATCCCAGTGCTTCATCTTGGTGACGGGGCCTGGCCAAGCACAGAGCTGATGCCTCCCCTTCCTCTCCCAGCCTCAGCACATGACAGGGAGGGGATTTCCTTTGGGGCCTTAATTGGGAATTGTTTTCTTGCCTTACATCAGCTGGTTACCGGGGGAGAGTTTTCAAAAGTTTCATTTCCTTCATTTGGAATGGAGTTTTTAAGAACCAAAAATGAAAACCGGAAAGAAGAGAGGCCACCGCCCACGCTGGTACCACTCAATGCCTCATGATGCCAGTCCTGGAAGGGCATAGGGGTTAGGGCAAAGATCCCTATGACTCAGGCAATATGAGCGGGGAGGGTGGATGGAGGGTCCTTCCTGAACTGTTCACTTTTCTCCTCTAACCTTCTTGGGGAAGGGATGGGTCTCCTATCCCAAGGGTCAGCTCCTCTTTCTCTGCGTTGCCCATGACCTCCCTTCAGGCACTAAGTCTAGTGACTGAACCCTGTGGGTTTATTGCCATCTTTCTGGAAACATTGACAATATCAACATATGATCAAAGACTTCAAGATTTATGTACAAAGATAACAAGATGGTCATGGAAGAATCCTGTCAATGCCAGGGCATGACTGGCAGTGGACAGCAAGGAGAAGAAACCCACATAACTAACTACATCTCAGGTCACGGAAGAATGGAAGAGGACCATGGCAAATCAGAAGCAAGGAGATGCTGAGAGCTTCATCGGAGGAGGCGAGCACAACTGGTGGGAGATCTGAACTGGACCATCTTGAGATGGGACTGAATACCAGAGATAAAAGAATTAAAGAGGATGAAGAGTCAGAATAAGGTCATGCCAAGGAGCACAGACTGTAGGGATAATGGCATCTCTTTGTCCCTCT